TCTTTTAATACCATCCTAGTCCAGGCCACAATCTCCTCTTTCTTGAACTGAGAACCTTACTCTCCTTTTAAAATCTATTCTCACATTCTCTCTAGCTTAACATCTTAATCACTTGTTTCTCTAATTAAATCAACATCCTAAACTCCTTACAGAAGGATAGCAGAATATGCCACCCCAAAATATGTCTCTTTGGCATAAGGATTACTTTGAGAAACTTTAGACACAGGAGTTCTGAAAACAGAGTGCAAGTTACCCTTTTGTAAGGGAAATATACTGGGCTGGCCAAAAAGTTCGCTCGGGGGACTTCCCTGGTGGTGCAGTGGTTAAGAATCCGCCTGCCAATGCAGGGCACACGGGTTTGAGCCCTGGTCTGGGAAGATCCCACATGCCACGTAGCAACTAAGCTCATGTGCCACAACTACTGAGGCTGTGCTCTAGAGCCCGTGAGCCACAACTACTGAGCCCGAATGCCACAACTACTAAAACCCGCACACCTAGAGGCCATGCTCTGCAGCAAGAGAAGCCACTGTAATGTGAAGTCCGTGTACCGCAACGAAGAGTAGCCCCTGCTCGACGTAACTAGAGAAAGCCTGTGCACAGCAACAAAGACCCAATGCAGCCAAAAATAAATAAATAAATTGAGTTAGTTGTGTTAAAAAAAAAAAAAAAATGTTCACTGGCCTTTCTCAAAAAAAAAAAGAAAAGTTTGTTCGGGTTTTTCCTAAGATGCTATGGAAAAATCCGAACGAACTTTTTGACCAACCCAATACACTAGAAAGGGGATCGACTATACCAGGAAAAGAGCTATCATCAGGGACAACTGTTTCACCTGAGAGACTTATCTGCATGGCAGGGTAACCTTGTCTACTAACCAGTTCCTCCTCTCACCTTCCCTTGAATTGCATTCTGCCTCTGAAGCCCCAGATCTCTCCATCCCTTTTCTAGGCTCAGGATGGTATATAAGCCTCAGTCACCTGGCAGCCTTTGGAATACCATAACTTCGTGGAGCTCATGTATGTATGTAATTAAAATTGTATCTTTTCTCCGGTTAATCTGTCTATGCCAATTTAATCCTTAGACTAGCCACAGAAACTAGAAGGGTAGAAGGTAAAGTTTTTCCTCCCCTACATTACCATGCTTACAAGGCCCTTTAAAAGGCATGCCTGATCTCCTGATTTTCTCTCCAACTTGTCAGGAAACACTGTTCCTCCTTGCTTGCTCACTATCCCACTTAAGCTTAGTGGTGTTCTTTCTGCTCCTCCAGCATGCCACTTTTATTCCTAGATGAGGACTTTTGCAGGACAGGACTAGCTCCTTGTCAAGTATTTCTCTCAGAGAGGACTTCCATGATCATCCTTTAGAGTATAACTTCCCCCAGTCATTCTTTGTCCCATGGGCCTACTTTATTTTCTTCACATCACTTCTTGCTGCAATCATCTTATTTCCTTTTTTGTTATTTGTCTCCCTACAATAGAATGTTCTTATTCACTGTTGTATTCTCCATGTGCGCACATGGTCTCTCTCTCTCACACACACACACGCACACACACACACACACACGTGTACACACAGTTGGTATGCATTCAATAAATATTTGTTTAAAGGCTGTTAATGGAAAAAAAAGGAATAAATCTTCAACAATATAAAAATCTAGATGGGATTTAGGGAAGAAAAAACTAAGGCACCTGGTAAAAATTTATTATCCTGGATGTAACAGATGAGAAATGACATAAATATATTCTGCTTTTAAGAGTAAAGTCTTTTAACAACAATGTAAAGACCATTCAATGGGGAAAGAAAACTCTTTTCAATAAATGGTGCTGGGACAACTAGACAGCCATATGCAAATGGAATAAAATTAGACCTCTACATCACATCATATTAAAAAAAATAACTCAAAATAATCACAGACCTAAATACGAGTTAAAAATATAAAGATCCTAGAAAAGAGAAGTAAATCTCTGGAACATTGGGTTAGGCAATGGTTTCTTATATATTACATCAAAAGCACAAGTGACAAAAGAAAAAAATAGATTAACTTAATTTCATAAAAATTAAAGCCTTTTTGTTTTAAAGAATACCGTCAAAGAATTAAAAGGACAACCCACAAAATGGGATAAAACATTTGCAGATCATCTATCTGACAAGAGACTTGTATCCAGAATTATAAAGAACTCTTAAGGTGAACAATAAAAATAAATCTTTTTTTAAAGAACAGGTAAAGGAGTTGAATAGACACTTCTCCAAGGAAGACATAAAAACAGCACAACAAAAATACTCAACACCTTTAGTCATTAAGAAAATGCAAGTCAAAATCACAATGAAATGCCACTGCCCACCCACTAGGATGGCTATAAAAAAAAAACAGAAAACAGCAAGTGTTGACAAGGATGAGGAGGAACTGGAACCACTGCTAGTGGGATTCTAAAATGGTGCAGCCACTTTGGAAAACAGTTTGGTAGTTTTCCAAAATGTTAAGCATAGAGTTACCATATGACCCAACAATTCCACTCTTAGATATATACCCCAGAGAAATAAAAACATATGCCCACACAAAAACTTGTACACGCATGTTCATAGTAGCATTCTTCTTAATTGCTAAAAAGTATAAACAACACAGATGTCCGTAAACTGATGAATGGATAAACAAAATGCAATATATTTATACAATGGAATCTTACTTGACAATAAAAAGTAGTACTCATACATGCTACAAATGGAGGACCCATGAAAACATTATTCTAATCTGCAGAAGCCAGTAACAAACGATCACATATTCTATGATTCCATTTATATAAAATGTCCAGAACAGGCAAATCTATAGAGACAGAGAGTGTATTAGTGGTTAGCAGGAGTCTGAGTGTTTTGTGTGTGTGTGTGTGCATGTCCCTACCCAGAAATGGAGAATGATTGCTAAGAGATACGGGGTTTCTTTTTGGAGGGAATGAAAGAACTCCAGATGGTAGTGATGGTTGCACAACTCTGTGTATATAATAAAAACCAATAAACTGTACCCTTTAAAAGGGTGAATATTATGGTATGTGTATTATATCTCAATAAAACTGTCATAAAAAAATAACTAAAGATACTAGTAGATTAATCTTTCTAGACCTTGATTAATTTCCAAAAATGTCATATTTTCAATGACTATTCATTCTACTTTTGTTAAGTACTAGGAATACAAAGATGAGTGACATGAACCTCCACCCTCAGGAAGTTCCCAGAATAGCAGAGGACGTTCTCCATAAAGCCTTTTGCCAAATATGTGCAGAACACTTTACACTTTGGACATTCAGACAGCATTACAAAAGAGGGGTACATAATACATGTGTTAAAATAAAGAGAAATAGCTCTGAACTGCTAATCAAGAGGATAAACTACTTTTTTGACTCCAGTTTTATATTCTATACATACTTAAGAAGATTTAGTAATCTTCGAGCTACAATCATTACACCAATCATTGCTATCAGGAACGAGTTTCCTGAACATCTGCAGCCTAAGTCAGAATACAGCTTGTTCTCCTTTCTCCCCATCTTCCTTCCCCTTGTCTATATTCTATTTCCTGTTGACTTGTGATAATTAGGTAAAAAAGTGATGGGTCCTGACTGATACTGGACAGCTCAGTGATGGGATAAGCCCAGTGTTTTCTGACACATTTCCTCCATAAGATGCCCCATGTGGAACGAGACAATAGCCTACTTACTTCTATATTCCAAGCACCTGCCACATGGTAGGAGGTGTCTACTGAGTAAAAACAGTATTTCCACTGCACTGACATTATATAAAGCAGTCTTTGAATATACTAATAATACTAATACCACTTTAATTCTTTTCCTTCTGGAGGTCTCACCTTTCACTTTGTGACGTATATAATCATATTTGATAAATAAACGGATGTCTAATTATTCAACTGAATTTTGGGAACAGACAGAAGAAAATAAGAGGGAAGGACAAACATGTGGTGTTATTCCAGCTCTTTAAATAAAAATTATTTTCTTGAGTTAAAGGTTGTACATAAAATAACCTTGCTTGTAGAAGGAAGAAAGCTGTTGTGTTGATAGCATCCCAGATACAATTTAGTTGAAATTGATTAATAATCAAGGGCATTTTTGTATACCTCCATTTTCAGACCAACTTTGGGGTCCTGGGCACATCACTTAACCTCTCTCAGTCTCAGTTTCCTCTCTTCTAAAATTGGAATAACAATAATATCTAATCTGTCTCTCAGGATCGTTATACAGTTAAATGGGAAAGGAAGTATGAAACACGGTATAAATGATCCAGAGCATTATCAGCACAATATATCATTGCCATTTATGTGTGGCTTACATTCATTTCAAGGCTTATACACTTTACTCAGCATTCACCCATTGGAACTGTATTGCTGTCTCTTACCTATAAAGTATCATATAATATTTTTCTCAGAGAAGGAAATGATCTTGCTGGCCCTTTACTCAAAGTATATCCCAATCACTCAATATTTTTTAAATCTTGAGAAATATGAAGCTACTTGCTGAATTCTCAGGTGCCCGTATTACGATTCCTTGATAAATCCGAGCTCAAATGCAGAAGATATGTACCAGATGAACTTTGTAAAAGTTCTATCACAACGATGAACGGTACATTTCAATTCTTTGGTGCATCACAATGAAAACTAAAGTTATCTTCCTGGTAATAAAAACCACTCACTCTAGAGACTGTCATACACAGTGAAGTAAGTCAGAAAGAGAAAAACAAATATCGTATATTAACGCATATATGTGGAACCTAGAAAAATCATACAGATGAACGGGTCTGCAGGGCAGAAAGAGACGCAGATGTAGAGAACAAACGTACGGACACCAAGGGGGGAAAGTGGGGGAGGGGTGTGGGATGAATTGGGAGATTGGGATTGACATGTATACACTAATATGAATAAAATGGATGACTAATAAGAACTTGCTGTATAAAAAAAATAAATAAAATAAAATTCTAAAACAACAACAACAAAAACCACTCACCTTTGCAGCACAGGCTCGTATCACCTCCTAAAAGAAATAGGATAAAATAAGTAAGGAACTACTCATAATTTCATTTAATAAAATGTCAACTCTTTTTAACACATTCAGATATTAATCTCAATAACCAAAATCAACATTTGGGAGGGAGTTTTTTAATCTGTCACCTGCAGGTGTCACTCCACTGTTCCAATGAGCTGGAAAGAGCATAAATTAAAGAGACTCAATAACATGATTTTGGTTTGCCAAAGCAAAACGCACTGACAAACAAGACTCTGGAGGGCCCACATGTAACTGCCTCAAGAAAAATTTGTCTCCTCAGTAAACTTAGCATAAACACTAAAATTCTGTACTGGGACACTAACATATCTACAAGACACACTCTGAACTGCAGTCTATAATTATCTCTATAAATAAGAATACTCATACATATAATTCTCAAATTAACAATTTACTTCAGAGGAAATCTAATAGTAAACACTTCTGAGGAGTAAAGGATACGACTGGAGGAGCTACAGAAGGGGACTGCCTACAACTCATAGGATAAGGCCAAGAAAAAGTCACTTTTGAAAAAGAAATTAGTCAAAGGCAACACAAAATAGATAGATGACTTGTAAATTTGCTGCTAGGGAGACACAAATAATATTCTAATCCAATTAAGGTTAACCAGCATATATCATCAGCCTAGTACAGCACTAGGAAAAAATGGTAACAATCAATGTGGAGTTTAGAAAAAAAGAACTGAAAAAGAAGAGTGTCCTTTTTTTTTTTTAATCCGAAATTTCTAAGGTACATAGACTACGTCTAAAGGATATTAGTAATTTCAATCACTAAAAGGAGACAGTAAAACTGACTGTGGGCATGAGATTCTGATTGCCTGGACTGAATCTCAGCTCCAATGTTTCCATCTGTGTGACCTTGGCAATACTGCTTGATCTCTGTAAGCCTCAACATCATCTTCTGTAAAATGCGGATAATACTAGCATCCACATTATAGGATGGTTTTGAGGATTAAATACAGTGAACACGTAAAACACTTAGCACAGTACCAGGAATTCATTATGTCAGTTTCTACTCATAATTAAACAGATGTTAATTATCACCAATTATTATATGGTGAAATCTCCTGTGGGGTAGAGAAAATTAATCTTTTTTTTTTCAAAATTGGCATAAAACATTAAAAAACCCATTCAATCCCTATTCCTATGACTCTGCTTAACAATCAGCTCTGTGATCACTGACCCAGATATCAGGTTAATTTTTAAAAGGGCGAGTGGTCTTGAGTGCTCAAGCAGCTGGAGAGGTATACCTCCAGATGTTTAAGTTTATAAATCAACTTTTTGTGGAACTGTTTACTATTACGAGGTACCCCAGATTCTGAGCAGCTCTGGATATACTAATAAGACCAAATTTCTGGGTTTGAAACCTTAGAAAGAGTTGTGTCACTGCTCTCAAGATAAGTAGTCTACCTGTGAGGTCTTATCTGGATTGCAGAGCCTTTTAGGTATTGCTGCAGCGGTAGCACAAAGTCGGCTCTGTTAAGTACGAAACAGTTAAACGAGTTTTATTATGAGTAAATGATAAAGCTACCAAGAACAGAAAGTTGTCTATTTTTGGCATCCTTTTCTCATTCATGAGTAAACACCTATGAAGTACCTGAGGAACTGAATTTATTATGCAATTCACACACACACAAATCACACCCTAAACTTGAACTGTATTTTATCAGAAAAGCATTCCTTTTGTGGTTACAAAGAAAGGAGTATCTCCAGGGATACAGTCTTCTACAATATAGAAGCAATATAGTCTTCTCTATTAGACTTCTACATAGAAGACCAGTGACAGAGCCTTTTAGACTAAGTAACAAACCTAACAGGAAAAGGAATTTAGGGTCTACCAAAAGACAGCTCAGGAAACAACAGAAAAGGCATTGTGACAAAAGATGAGAATCTAGTCAACCTAAATGCTTGCAAAACATAAAGAGTAGAGCTTCCGTGGGAACAAAGATGACATTTTGTTTTGATTCCCATATATGCTACATACATTCTCAGAGAAAATACACTGCAGATAGCATTTGAAAAAAAAGTTCAGAGAATTCTCTTTACACGGGAAATATATGGTTTTTCAAAAAACCACAGCAAATAGACAAAGCTTTCATTTCCAAAGGCAGCCTCAATCTACCACAATCCCAAAGCATAATTTTTAAAAGGAAAAGTTTAGTAAAAGACAAATAAATCAATTATTCTATGAGAAACAAGGTTTTCTCTTATAATAAATTATCAATTTACTTTCCACTTGCCTTTGATTTCATATCTTAAAAAATATTTTTCTGATTTTATTTTTCTTTTACATCTACTTTCCTTTCATTTATCTGAGGATGACAGCTATAAAAGATGATGCAGGAGAAAAGCTACAAGCCCAAGGTGATTCCAGGATGTTAAGTTTTACAGTATAAAGATTGACAGATTGTAGGAAACTTGTTTTTATATATCTATCTGTGAGTTGCTCTTTAGTCTGTAGATGAAATCATTTTGCAATGCAAGGTTTTAGACAAGGGCCATTATTTTTTCCTAGTGAATAAATATTTTTCTCTAATTTTTAGAACTCCATTTATCTATTCATACTTCCTTTTAAAGTCTGGAACACATTCATTATTCAATTATTTTAAAATGTTAAAATATAAAGTCTTACAACACTGAAATATTAATTTAGAGTCATATTATTCTAAAATTTATATTGATAAATATAAAAAAATTTCCCCCATATTCCAACTAAAGTTGAACCCGTTGTCTGAGTGATCTGCACTCTGGTATACCCCACACTCTCTTAACTTTCTAAAGAAAGGAAAGGAGAGAGGAAGAAAGTACAGTCAGAACTAAATGGTGTCTCAATGTAGTTCCTCCTACGTTGGGTTTAAAACTGGTCAATATCCCTATCAAAGGAGGAGGGGAAAGGATGATATTTATTAAATGCCAGGCACTGTGCCACAAGGGGGAACACGACAAGCCGGCAAAGTCCCTGTCTTCAAGGTGCTCAGGCTAATTCTCACTAAAAGAACCATTAGGGTCAAAGAGCCTAAGTATTTTTAAGGATGTTCAAGCTTCTCAATACATTTTACCACTTATCTTTGAGAAACACTGTATAGTAATTTACCACCAACAGAATACCACACGACTTTTAACCAAGCATCCTCCTCCTGATTTTCATCATCTATTTTCCAGTTTTACAGGCAATATCTGGTTTCTGTGGCACTACTTTTCTCTGAAGTGAGATAGAACTTTAAAATACGCTTATGAGACATGTGTACCTACTCTTTTTGAAAGTACATGTTTATTTCTTTTATCCATTTCTTTGTTGAAGTCTCACTATTTTCTTTATTATTTAGTTCTTGCATATTAAGAAGGCTGTTCCACTTATATATTTTATGTAGACATTTTCCCAGGTTGGTATTTGCTGTGTGTGCGTGTCTGCATGTTGTATATATGCATATACACACATATACACACATATATTTTAAAATAGAGAAACAAGTCCTGGGCTGATCTTTACAGAGATATCAAGTCAGGAAAGCCTAATAGATTATCCTAAGTTCAGTTTGTTTACTGCAGTTAGTGATTTTAGAACAAGTACCAAAAAGGAACTATAAAAGTAATAAGAAAGCCTAGTTTTAAGTAACTGCTTCGTTCAGTTAATATTTATTGGCATGGCAATGTAAAACAGAACTGAAATGGTTTTAAAGTTTCCAACTTCTCAACTGCATAAAATAAGTAAACATACTGTGACAGAATCAATCCTCTGTTTCACTTGCTGCATCTTCATTGAAGAATTTTCAGTGTGGACATAGCCATCAATCTGAAAAGAGCCCTGATGAGGCAGTCTAGGGCAGGTGCATAAAGCATCTTGACTTTGGTGTATTCCAGGCAATGGAAATGTTCCATTGTAGCGTTTGAACATTTCAGCCTCCTGCTGGGCAACTGGAAAAATTAGTCCATAATTAGTTCAAATCATCACAGCAAAAGCATAATGAAATAATTAAGCCATGAAATTGTAGCATTAAAGGAATGATCAGAAAGTACATAATACATTTTAAATACTGGGTAATAATAATACAACATGATGAACAAAATGTGAAATTATTAAATACTGTAAACCATAAAAAAGGAAATATAATAATTTCATAGATAACTTCATGTCAGGTAGTATAATTGAGCCTTGAAGGTCATGCAGTATCTTGGTCTGGTAAACATAACAAATTGGAAGGGGACTCTAACTTTGAAGAGATGCATACAGGAAACACAATATAAAAAAATCAAAGGCATAATATAATAGAATTAAAGAAAACACAAAAACAATAACAATAATTATTCACAAACCCATTTCCTTAAAACTGTTTTCATATCTTCATACCTCTATCTTTATTCATATACACATTTTATGTAAGATATCATAGTGTAAACACAATTGAACAGTTTTTCAATTTAAATGTAAGTTTTTGCATATTTCTACAACTATGTAATTACCATTTATAAATGCTTTACAATGTCTCATCTAAGGAAGCGCCATAGTTTATTTATGTATTCTCCTATTGCTAAATATTTACAATGTTTTCTGTTTTCACTCATTATAGGCTATGCGTAAGTACTTTCATAATTTATTTTTTAAAAGAATCCTTTCTTTGGATTTAATACCCCAGAGTGGAATAGATGGCTCAAAGGGTGAATGTTTTTGATGATGATGATGACGACGACAACAAGGGTATTAGCACCTGTATTGTACTTTATGATGTTTAGGATGCTTTCACATACATTATCTCATTTGATCACTTAAATAAATGAATTTGAAAATTTTTAAATGCCTGTAAGTACAAAGGAGAAAAAAATAAAAAGTAATCATTTAAAATAGTATTTTCTTGATTATACAATTATATAATTTAAAAATCCATAAAAGAAAAAATTGACAATTTTGGACTTCATAAAAATTTCAAATGTCTGTTTTTTCAAACTCTTAAGACAATTAGAAGAAAAGTCAAAGGCTGGGAGAAATATTTGCAAATCATATACCTAATAGAGCATCACTTGTATATAAGAAACCTAACTCTCAAAATTCAATAATCAGAAAGCAAACAAGCCAGTTTTACAAATGGGCAAGAGATGTGAACACATGATTCAGTGAAGAAGATACATGGATGGTAAATAAGCACATGAAAAGGTGCTTAACGTCATTAGTCATTAAGGATAAGCAAATTAAAACCACAATGAAATAGCACAGCATACCTATTACAAGGGCTAAAATTTAAAAGACTGGCCATTTCATATTTAGCAAGGATATGAAGATACTGAAATACAGACTAGTGGTGGGAAGGTTAAGCAGCACAACCACTTTAGAGAACAATCTGGAAGCTTCTTAAACATATGTCTGCGCTGGGGTCCAGCTCTTCCATTTTTAGGCATTTATTCAAGAGAAATAAAAGCATATGTTTATACAAACACTTGTAAATGAATATTCACAGCATCTTTATTTGTAATAGCTAAAAACTGGATAAAACCCAAATGCCCATCAATAGGTGAATGGAAAAACAAACTGTGATATATCAATACAATAAAATAATACTCAGAAATAAAAAGGAACTATTGATAAACTCGAAAACACAGATTAACTTCAAAGTAATTATGAAAGAAGACAGATCAAAAAAAGTACGTGGTATATACACTGTTGCACTCATATACAATTCTAGAGAATGCAAATTAATTCATAGTGTTTGTCTGGCAGGAGGGGGAGGTAGGGAGAGATGACCAAGGAGTACAAAGTAACTCTGGGGGATGATGGATGTGTTCACTATCTTGACTGAGGTGATGGTCTCACAAGTATATAAATATGTCTTGACTTATCAGGGTGTACAGTTAAAATATATGCAGTTTATTATATGTCAATTATACCTCAATAAAACTGCTCACAAAAAAGTGATAGGAGTTAATATTCAAAGAGTCCCCATAAAATCAATTAAAAATGAATAATCCAACAGAAAAATGGGCAAATGGCCATTACAGAAAATTCACAAAAAGGAGAACTATATATTCAACTTCACTACTAATTAAGGAAGAAATAAGAGGAAAAAGGCAAATTAGAAAGTGATGTTTCTTTTATTGCTTGTTCAACTATCCCACCGTACCTCAAGATATTTGTTCCCACGGAACAAACTGAGTAAGGGTAGCCAGACGTGTACTGAAGTGTTGCTTAAAATACTGAAAAACATATGATAGTGGAATTATGCAACAATAGTTGTTTAAATGAATTATGGTGTATTCATTTAAAGAAAGAGAATTCAGCCACTGAAATTATGTATAATTATCATGATAGAAAATTGTGCACAATATATTATTAATTGGAAGAAAAACATTTATAAAGCAATAAAATGAATATACAAAAGGATGTCACTTTCTTTTTTAGTTACCAACCTTGGTTTCATGAAGCATGAATTTGAAACAGCGCCTACAAAAAATTTTAGGTCTCTGATCTTTATATTCATGTACTATTTCATTCACATGTTCTAAGTGAAGAACAGCTCGATGATAACTGGGGCTCTCTCCCTGCAGAACTTGATGGTGGTAAGAACCGGGGGATGTAATTGAGGGAGAAGACCTGCTTACAGCCCACCCTTGCAGTGATGCAGGTTCCTTAGTACCAATTACTGTTTTCAGATGGAAGTGTAGCTGTGTCTAACACTTAGATTTTTGTGGGTTTGACTACTATTTTTCAGTATATAGTTTGGACTTCTTTTCATAGCACTCAGAACATTTATTTACCTCAAATAAAAGACTGTTGAAAGAACAAAGAGAAACTCTGAAGCTGTGAAAAGAAGAGTGCTCAATGGACTGGAGGTTTAACTTTAGTAGATGGGTCAGGGATGAATGAATCAACACGTAAAAATCACGTCCCATGATCTTTGCCTGATTTGCTTTTCAAAATTGTCCTCTTAACATTTCATTGGTTTTTGCTACTACGAATGGAAAGTAAAACTGGGTTTAATTATTTAATGGCATTTTCTGACTCCCTATGTTTTTGTACTTGCCAGATACACAACTACAATTTCACCTCAAGTCCTGAGTGGGTGAGTATGCGTTAGAAGCACAGAGGCTGATATAAGCAACAGTTATAAGGGACGGTAGGGTTTGGGTATTTACCTTACTCTTTTTGCCAAACTGTATTTTCTAAGTTTTATGCTATGCTAAACATGTATTATTTTCCTTTTTAAAAAAGGGAATTTATTTAACTAGTAAAAAATAACCAAAGGTAACTGCCTGAATATTTATCTGTTTATTTTTCCAGGCATTAAGGATGCCTTTCAGGAAAGATTAAAATGGCCTAAACGGATGAAGATGACAAAAATAAACCCCAAACAATTATGAATACTTGTTTCTGTTGTCTAAAGGGAAATTTTCTATACGAAAGCCATCTGACTGGATTTCAAGGAGGCAAATTAACACCCTACTTTACCTTTAGCACCTCTAATTCTGTGAAGACAGCCATAAAAAAAATCTGCAGAAATATTCATAAAGACCTAGTTTCTCAGATACTACAAACTACAAACAAGCTGCGATCAAGGTCTTGCATTCTTTCCCCTCCCCAGCCCTCCACAAATACCTATTTGTGTAAGACTATACAGATAATTTCCCTGTAAAATAGGTTATAATAGATGATTTCTAAAATTCCTTCAAGCTCTATGCTTCTAACAGTTCAAAGGTTTCTAAATCATTTTCATAGAGGCCATGGTTAGAGAATGATGTTGCAACTAGGTAACTGGATTTCTTCACTTAGTCATTTTCTCTTCCTTGTACTAATTTAACTTTGTATGTTTTAAACTTAGCTCTAACCTAACTAATAAGTTTAAAACTCACAATTTTAAGTCTCATCCCTATCCTTTCATGACTCTTAGAGGAGTGCACTACAGCAGCCCCTGGGAATACAAAAACACTGCCCCGCTCCTGGGGGTCTGAATTTTTGGAGGCCAACAAGAAATTACTGCTATGTGCTAAGTGGTACAGCAGAGCAATGGACATGGTGCTGAGAACACAGAGGTGGCAACTACATTTGCTTAAAGGAAATGCAATTTCCTTTCCTTCCTATATCCATCAAAATACTTCTAAATTTACCTACTATCACCTGTAATTTGGGATTCTAGACTTTACACAATTAAAAAAATTCTCAAAGTGTTTTCATAACTGACCCTCTTTCTTGATTTATATAGTAAGTTCAGTGCTTCTGTGTATGTTCTGGCCTTAAACAATTATAAAAAAATAATGTGGTTTTCCTCAGGAGATCTTTATCTTTATAGGAGGAAGAATGGAGGAAATAAGATATTTCAATTCTGTGCCCTTTGCATTTGAAAATAATACAAGGTTTGTTATTATTAAAACCTATGTGTACTTATGTTATTGACTTTATAATAAAGTACAACTAAAAAATAGCATGGTCTTTTTCTTACACTATATTAACAGTAATATTTCTCTGTGGTTCAACATTTAATGTCTTTGGTCAAGATCTGCTATTACACATACCCCTGTTACTGTGTATAGTCATCTTACTGGATACCTAATTTACTTATCAATATTTCTATGTCTAATTATAATATGATTACTGTAAACTGGTAGGTCTACTGCTCTAGTTTCCTAGCATTCAGCAGTTATGCAGCATCCTCCTTTTCTTCCTCTCACACTTGCGGTGTGAAGAGAATCTCTGTGGTCTGAATGTTGTGTTCCCCTAAAATTCCTATGTTGGAGTCCTAACCCCCAAGGGGATGGTATTAGGAGGTGGGGCCTTTGGGAGGTGATTAGGTCATGAGAGCAGAGCCCTCATGAAAGGGATTAGTGCTCTTATAAAAAAGACCCCAATAAGGTCTTTAGCTGTACCATGTGAGGGTACAGCTAAAGGTGCTGTTTATGAACCAGAAAGTGAGCTTTCATTGGACAAAGAGTCA